CTGCCATCAGAAAAATGAAAGGTCCAGCCCCACCACACTAAGGGGCAGACCTAGGTATGAATGATGATCCCAACTCCCTCTGCCTGCAAGAGGAGAGGTCAGCCCAGCCCCAAGGAAAGTCAAGGTGAAATGGAAGTGCAGGTGAACTCAACATCTGGCTTGACTGGCCGTCGCAGCACCCACCTGGCTGGGTTCTCCACACGGCACTCTTTAGGGATGTGTTACCATGGATGGAGTCCTCCAGCTCCTTAGCTGTTTTCCCTGCCGCACTTTACATAAAAATTTCTGGTTTCTTTATAAACTCCAATACCATCTAATCTAAGAAAGTATTTGAATAAAAAAATATTCTTTCTTAAGGTTATTTCTTAAATTTTTCCATTCCTTTTCACCCATTCACCACCACTGACCCAGATCTGCTCAGCAGAACGGCTTGCTAGCAAGGAGACAAACCCAGAGTCACGGATGGAGGAGGCCCCTATAAATTTTGTTAGTCTACAAGTGGTCCCTGAACCACAGTGTGTAAAACACTGTTTTATGAGAAAAGAAGATGGGATAAAGACAGAAAAGGACATCCTTGGAAACAATAATACTGTGGTGTGACCACAGGTTTGTGACCACAGGAGGTCATGAGTTCTAATCCTAAATGTATTTCCTAAGACATAGTGGCAAAATTGAGTGGAAAAATGTTAACAGGAGCCCCTTTCGTCATTTTCTCATTCACTTATCCATCAACTATTCATGACATGTGTGCCTTTAGTATGCTGGAAGAGGTACCGATACAGGCCAGTATCACAGCAGTCCTTGAGGAGTTTCCAGCCTTGTCACTGCGATAAGACATTTCCATAAGCATGCTGGGGCAGTGGCCAGTGCTGTTGGAGAGAGGCCGGGCAGGCTGGGAGAGGTGGCTTCCACTCTGGAGCCATGGGGGCTCCCTAGAAAGGAGACGGCATTGCAGGCAGGCTTTAAAAGCCATGTGGATCGTAGACATTGGCGATTGATGGGGAAATGTCCCAGTGCTTGGGACAGCACGAACGATGTCTCAGAGACCAGAGGATGTAGAGAAAAGGTTGGCATATATGGTGCATGTTGGGAATGTGCAGTCTAACTGGAAAAATATAGGTTGGGGCCCTATCTGAACAGCTTTGAATTTAAGCTGAACTTCTATTTTACTCTAAGGAGCTGATGGAGGTTTTTGAACAGACTCATGCTTTAAGATGACGAGTCTGGCAGCACCGTGACTTTGGGGAGAGCAGTTTCTGTGATGTGGTGTGGGCCATGGCCCAAATCCAGCGAGGGGAATAGTAACAACCTAGTGAGTAAAGTTGCTGTGGGGACTAGACAGCTGCTCCCGCTGCACGGAGGTGGACAGAGGTGTGGTGCCTCGAGGAGGGCCGAGGGCGGGGAAGAGTCGTGAGTGCCGGGCAGACAGGTGCTTTCTGTGCCGGGCTTCCAGGGCCTTGGCTCGGTCCTAAGGGTTAGACAGGCTTTTCGTTAGTCTTCACGTGTTCCTTCCCCAGGCCAACGGCTGTGCATAAGACAATCTTAGAAGTGTTCTGCCACTTTAAAAAGTCCTGCTGAGCCCTCAGTCACGTGCCTTCAGAAATTTGGTTACATAACGTTGCTCTGAATTGGAATTCTGCAGCCTCATGAGCTGATGCCTCTTTCCCTCGCCCACCTGGCACTTTACTTTCTCTGGGTCAGGTTAGCGTCTTTCTAACCATTGTTGCAGAGCTCCTTAAATATTTGGTCTCACAGGTTCTAGAAGCTAGCGGTCCAGGATGCTCCCCACAGGTTGTGAGACCAAAGGCTTCCAGAAAAGGAGCCAGCAAAATCTGAAGCATGTTAGCAGAGTGCAGCAGCTGCACAGTGCACCGCCCGTGGAACCGGGCTCCCAAGTGCTGAGGCCAGCAGCTCCCAGCCGCTGCAGCCCAAGACCAGGAGGAGCCCTCCTGCACCACATCGCGGCTGATTCATAATTGTGGCGATGACAACAGATTAAATCACTGGCTCTCAGCACTGAGGACTGGGCTTTGTCAGGGTCACTCACTGTTCCTTCTCCCAATTTTCCATATGCGAGAACAAGTTGGAGTTTACTGCTACAGTACAAATACTTGTCGGGAGCTCTGAGAGCTTTGCTCTGTCTAGAAGCTGGTTTTCTTAGCAGCCCACACTGAATGTCTCTTTCTTCCCGCATCTCCATAACATACATATGTATTTATTTATACCTTGCTTTTTAAAAAAATGATTTAAGATAGCTGGGAGATACAATGCAGTGAATTTTTAAAAATTAGGATATGGAGCAAAAGGAATAAATGCTTAGAGAAATTAGGCACAGATAGGATAAAGGTTAGTTCACAAAGTTGAAGTTACAAATAAGATGCTCTAGAGGCAAGTCACAAATGTTTTTCTGAGCTTCCTGGCAGCTAGAGCAGAGAGGGAAATCTAAAAGGATGAAACTCGAATGCCTGTGAGATACAAACCAGCCGTCAGCTCAGAAGAGTGAGTCCTTGCACTGCCTGAACTTCCCTCATAAAAGGGGCGCTGAGTGATGAAATGGACAGGGCCCTCATCAACTTCCCTGCAGTGAGTAGCACGGCCGTTTGGTTGACTTCTTGCAGTGTCCCTTAGGGTAGGCTTGGTGACAAGGCCCCATGTAGGACAAGGACTCCACTGGACGCCTGTGCAGGATGTTTCTGTGCAGTTCGTCTCTGCTCAGAGGGTACTGTCCTGAGGGACCTTGCATCTGGGAGATGCTCTGCCCTAAATGTGCCAAGATCAAATGAGTCTGGCAAGAACTGTACAACACCAGCATGTTGAAGGCTCTGCAAAGTCCTACAGAATGGTGATGGAAGGAGACTTGACTTGGGGTGGCGAACACACAATACAATATACAGATGATGTGTTGTAGAATTGTACCTCTAAAACCTATATACTTTTATTAGCCAATGTCACCCCAATAAATTCAATAAAAAAAGAGGTCCTACAATTAAGAAACTGGCCCAGTATTTCCCTAGCAGATTTAATCACAGGACCTTTTTAAAAAATTAGGATACTTACTTGGCACATTGGGAAACACTGATCTAAAACAGGGGCCAGCAAACTTTCTGCTGAGGGCCAGATAGATACAGGTTAAGCATACAGTCCTGTCATAACTGCTCCACTCTGCCATTGTACCAAAAAAGGGTGGCTCTGTTTTCAATAGCGCTTCATTTATGGATACAGAAAATTGAATTTCATGTAGCTTTCACATGTCATGAAATAATATTCTTTTGATTTTTTTCAAGTACTTAAAAATGCAAAAACCGTTCTTAGCTTGCAGGCCATTCAAAACAGGTGGTAGCCCCATTTGGCCTGTGAGCTGTAGCTTGCCGACCCCTGATCAAGAATAATGTTTGGATGGTATGTTTTTCCAGCAAACTTTCCTGAGGACTGTTCCTCAGCATTGTTTTAATTTAGACTTTTATGTTTCTGGTTTAAGAGCCGATTTTTTTAAAAAAAGTAGAAAAAAATTGGTTTGAGTGCTTATAGGTTAGTCTAAGATTTTTCTCAGAAACAATTTGTGGGGCCTCTCAAAGAAGACATTGACAGACTACAAATTGAAGCCTTAGACTCTGTTACATATGGCCAGGTCATTTTGAGGCTGGAAATGTTTTAGTGGGAATTATCATTCATTCATAGAAATAAAAATATCAAATCACCCAGAGACATTTAATTTTAAGAAAACATAGTTTCGTAATCAACTCTCCAAGTAAACCAATGAACTGTGGCCCCCATTAAGCTAAGAGTATTATTATTATTTTGACTAGAGGGACGTTCTTTGAACTCTTACGGTGTCATGATGATGAAAGGAGGAGGTGTGAAATATCCTCACCACCAAGCCTGACAGTTCAGTTCAACAAGTATTTACTGAGCGCTCAGTACATATAAAGCATTCTGCTAACTTTTATGGGGGATTCAAAAAGAATCAAGACGCAGATAGTTCCTTCTTTACCTTGTGAATCAAGTTCAAGATTCTCACCAGTTTAGAGCCCGTTACTGTTGTGTCAGGATTAATTTCACCTCCCCGACTCTTCCTGTCAGCACTCATTCATTCAACAAACACCTGTGAGTTGCAGCCTGTGTTCATAGCACTGAAACACAGGCTTTGGTGACTTGCTGAACACCCAGTCTCCCAGCCAGTGCCTGGGGAGGGAAGGGCAGAGAGGATGGAAAATCGAGGCTGGACTCTGCCCAGATCTTTAGGTATTTATGTGGTAGGAATGGCTGGGTTGGGTGGGGCATGTTATTTCAGAAGCTCTGAAGCAAAAGAGAAAGAGTAAGAGCGGGATGTGCATGGTGATAGTGAGAAGATAAATAGGCAGAGGGTGTCCCTGATGGCATGAGTTCGGGTGCGGTGCACAGTTACTCCCTGGAGACAAACTGATTAGGACCATCTCCAAGTAGAATTGCATCACGGCTAACTGTGTGGCCTAAAGTGTTTTGCAAAACTTATTCTTGAGTCTCCCCCCACCACGATGTCATGACAAGGTAGGTGATTTGTTTTTTAGCACCCCCGCCCTTTTGGGGGAGATAGGAGGAGAAGCGCTAAATGATCCTCACATGGGTCCTTAAATGAAGAGGGAAGCAAAAGTAAGACCTGACCGCTGGAGAGCAACTTACCAGGGCCCGGCCTCCTGTCAGACGCTCCTCTTGGGAAGCCTTGTTCATGGGTGCTGCCTCACTCCCACCTTCTCCCACCTGTTCCTGTTCAGGGTCAAGGAGAAGCAGGTGCCAGTTCACAGAAGACGAGAAGACGCTCTGAGGCAGCATGGAGCGGTGCTGTTTCTCCCAGTCTCGCATTTTACTGAAGACCCCATCCTCAGAGACACATTGTAGGGGTCACTCTTCACTGTGCTCACATTTGCACATTTTCAAAATAACTGTTCTTTAAAGCTATGCTACCATGGGGTCAAGTTTCTATTATTTGTGGCAGCACTAATGATAACTTCAATCTTTCCTAGGAAAGACTGTATCTTCACCATTGACCCATCGACTGCCCGAGACCTGGATGACGCCCTCTCCTGCAAGCCTCTCACTGACGGTAAGATGGAAAAGTCTGTGCCATTCGGGGTGGCAGGCGGTGTGCACACCTTTGTGGCTGGCCTGCCTGCCGTCCGTTCCCCAGGCAGTGCAATGTGCATGCTCGAGTTGGCCTTGTTCCTGAACTTTCCATAGGTCCCTGAGGCTACACAAATATGTGACCTAAGGATTGTGTTCCTGTGGTGACTTTGGTGAGGGTGAGAATAAGAAATGTCCTCTCACAGGGTCCTTCTCAGGCCTCAGAAGAGGCAGCAGAGAGGGTAGAAGAGCTAATTCCAGGCCTCGCCTTCAGGAAGTTCCAGTTTGGGTGCGAGTGTTAAGGAAGAAAGCCTGAAGGCTCTGCTCAGGTAAAGGCTCTGCTCAGGTAAAGGCTCTTTACCTGAGTTTAACAACAGTTGGGACGAGGCAAGGGTTATCTCCAAAGGCATGCTCAGCAGAGGGTGTTAGGAACACCTGCCCTGAGGAGTGCCCCTCAAGCGAGCTAGAGAAGCCTGTGCTGCTCCCAGTAGGTCTTCATCTATCCAACAAATTGCAAAAGGTGGCTGTTAGGGGCTCTTTCAACAATCTTTTGGGATGGAGCTAAGCAGGAAAAGGTGGGATTTAAGGCTTTGAGGACTACAGTAGGGGGAAAGGGAAAGTGTGGAGGTGGATAGAGCAAACCCTACCAATCCCCAGTTTAATGTTTCCCCAAATGTGCTGCTTAAAGTCTTAGCTACTTCTTGCCCTCTTTAGGGTGGTGCCTGGGTGACTGCTTTGGCTTCAGTCATTCTCGGATATGGCTTTAGTACTAACCTGGCCTAGGATGGCTTGCCTATAATGGATGTCCACCCTGTGGTTCCAGTTGGCAGCAAAGTGTTGATGGCCCAGGGGCTTTGTCTTTTAAAACACCGCAGAGGTGTTCACATGGTCCATTGTTGCAAAACTGCAGAGGGTCAGCGTCTAATCCCTTCTCTGCTATACGAGGCAGTGAGGCTTAGTAAAGAGAAGCCGGAGAGACAGAAAGCATCATTGCCTAAAAGTGCTTTTATCTTCCCATAGTGGGAGTCCTCCTTGAAACTATGGGCAAAATAGCTCAGTATTTTCAACTAAAGAAAATTGAAAGGAAGATAGAAAAGTTCCCATGGAAATTTTTGAGGAATTTTGTATTTTTAAAATCCAAAATTTGAGCTGCCCATTTAAAAAAGCAAATACTGGGCTGGTTTCTTATGTCCCGAGCCATTTGTGCTGCATGCAGAGGCTTGGGCATATATCTTTCTCAGTGTGAGCTCCACTCCCCTGAGCCCCAGTGTGCATAGCGCACCTGGGCAGAAGGCCAGGTGACAGGGGACCGCACTTCCTGTATTGCCCTTTTCTCCAGGGTCACAGCCCTGCTCTATTTGTAGTCTGATGCTTGCAAACAGCTGCTTCATTTATTCTGTCCACTTTTACAGTTGTTAATGGCAGAAGGATAGGTCTAATATCTGCTAGTCCATCTCGGCTGGCCCCAAAGATACTCGCCTTGCAGGGAGGGACACCAGGGAGCTGGGATGTGTCCTGCCCCACTCACTCCACTCTGGTTTCTTGTGTACCAGATCACTGCAGAGGTTTCACGTAGAACCATGATACAGATAGGGCAACAAAGGTGATTGGGACACAGTGTACATTTTTATAAATTTCCAACCAAAGAACATGCTTTGTCAGACAGCCTAAACCCATTGTTTTCAGTGTGTCATTCAAGGAGAGCAGTGAAAGTGAGGAAAACAAATTAGTGGCAGAAGATGAAGGCTAGGAGAGGAAGTGGAGACAGAGACCTTGCACTTGTTTAGCCATGTGGGTGGGAATAAGGAACTGGACTGGAGGTGGTGGCAGTGTTGATGGCGGTGGGGAGGGCGTGAGAAGGGGTGACAGCAGAGGAATCCGTGGAGACGGATGTTAGAGCTCAGGGAGAGGGGTTTAAGATGGGGCAGAAGTTTCAACCTGGATGATGAAGGAAAGGAATCCGGAAGTTAGAAACCAGAAGACAGGAGGTCAGGTTGGTTTTGGAGAAACGATGTGGAGTTGTCTGTCTGATGATATGTATTTATTTAAGCTGCTGCAAATCCTTTTCTGAGGAGGCGGGGCTCAAAAAGCTACATACATGTGGTCCATTAAGTACATCCGGAGAGCCCCAAAGAAAAGTAGACAGTGCACCAAATGCAAACAGTGATTTTATTGGGATGATGGGATCATAAGTGATTTTTCTCTTTTCTCTAGTTTCCAAATTTTTGTAATGTGGTAATAATAGTTTTATAATGAAAAAAATTTTGTAATAAAAAATATTATGAGGTGCCAGAAATCACAGGGCTGCCGAGTAGCGCACTGCACCAGGTGACCAGATACCTTCCATCTGCTCCGTTATTCTTGCGTTCCAGAGGGTAATCAACATCTGGTCATCTGGCAGAGCCGCGGGAAAGGGCATGGAGAAGGAGTCAGGGAAGAGCCTGAAAAGGCCTCAGTTGGTCAGTCAAGCGTTTTTATGGTGGCACTTCTACAGTTGGCCTTTATGACAGCAGTTTCTGCCAAGGCCATTTATCCAGGGAGCTGAAAAGTAAAAGTCAGTTCCAGTTTGGATGGGGATGACGCTGGCTGAGTTCAGGTTCCGTTAGTTACCAGTTCATGTCAATTCTTGGTTAGAGGAAAAAATGTTTAATGTTTCAAAGAGCAAATGATGTTTTCTGGCCACATTTACATCATCTATAACCATTTCATTTATTTCTTATTGAATTTATTGGGGTGACATTGGTTAATAAAACTATGTAGGTTTCAGGGATACAATTCTATATATAACCATTTTTATTTAAAGAAAATAGAAAGGTCGAGCTTTTCTCTGTTCCCATTGAAATCATTTGAATGACTGTTCTGTGAAAAGAAGACGTGCAGACAGATGCTTCTTCTTCTGGCCTCACGCTCCCTTTCCACGGAGTTCAGATGCAACTCCAGGACTTGGGGCCAGTATCTCCAATAGGTGTGAGACTGAGGCTGTACAATCCCCAGATAAATTCTGCAGAGACTCAGTGACACCTGTTCTCCAGCAGGTTCTGATTAGGTTGGAAAGCTGAGGGGTGCCCCTACCCTTGAGGAGCCTCAGCTATGGAAGGGATCCTACCAGTCATCTAGCCTAGTAGTGCTCCGCCTTGTGTAGCCTGTAGGCACCCTTGAGTGGAACATTCCCTGCGATGACACCCAGCCTGCTATTGAACAGTCTTTCGCTGTTGCTCAAACTGGTACTTACAGTGCCAGTGAATAGGAGAGGAGCGTTACAGTGGGCACCTGAACCTAAAGAAGGTAAATTCACACACTTCAGTTTTCTGGCTGTAACAGATCACTTGCAGCACACCTCACAGTAATGCAATGGTTGCTGCACCACCTTTCGGTTTTCAGATGACCTCTCCAGCATCACTTACTGAAGATCCAGATTGCATTTAACACTCTACCTTGCAGGCAGCCCTGTGGCCTAAAGGTGGCATGACTGTTAGAAAATCTTTCCCTGAAATGACCTGAAACACTGCTGTCTTCCTGTAACTTTCTACCCATTATCCCATTTATGACCCTTGTGGCCTACAGAGACTTGGGGACAAGTCTTGTCTCTTCTGTGACAATGCTTCAGACACTGGATGACAGCTATCATATTTCTGTGAGTCACAGACATAATCTAGCCCAAGGGACCTCAGGAATGCAAATTACCTACTGTGCTCTAGGGGGTGCCCAAGACAGGGGTTGCTGGGATCTTGCTTCCCCTCTGAACCTGTTTTTACTCCATCCCCTACTTCTATAAAGGCATCACCTGCCACCTAGTCAGCCAAAGGTTTTTAGGAAAAGGAGCCCTGGAGTCACATTTGACCCCTCTTCGTCAGCACTGCCATGGCCATTTCAGTAGTTTCCCTCCTTCCCGCCCACCCTCCACATTGCTACCCAGTTATCCCATGTAGTATATATGCACAAGAACCAGATCATGTTGCTTTTCTGCTTGAAAAACTTCTTGTACCTGTGGGTATGTTCACATTTTTTAGCAGAGCTTTGTTATAAAAGCCCTTTAAGCTTAGTCCCCAGCCTCCTCTCCCACCTTCCTTACCTCCCAATACCACTTTCCCCAAAACACACACACATGCACACACACACATCTAATAATGTCTGGCTAGGCTCTGCATTTTCCACTGGGCTCTACCCTGCCTCTGGGCCTCTGCTTGTCCTTTGCCCCCTGCTTAGAATGCCGGCCTCCCTGCCTCCTGCTATGTTGGCTGAAATCCCATTGACGAGCAAGATAGAACCTGCTGAGCTCTCCTTTCCTCCTCTCAGAATGAATCGCTCCTATCCTGTCAGCACAGTTTCTTTACGTCACTAATGCAGCAGTAAATATCATTGCTTCTGGATTTAATTCCCCTTTTTGCTTCTTTCCCAAGGGCGGGGAGTATCTTGGATATCTCTATATCCTGAGTATCAAAACCTGAATTTAAAAACCATTTGGTCTAGTCAGTCTAACCAAGCAACCTGATGTATACCTTCAGAGTTCACTCCTCTTTCTGTTTCCCACCTTGCCCTTTTAATTTTGACCCCTAGGTCTGTGGGTTGTCTGTGGACTTTTATATGCTGACATACAAGCCTACTCCACATGCTCTCCCAAACAGTCTATGTTTTGGAATTTGGTGTTACCTTTCTGTCATCACAGTCAAGACTTTCAGTCCATCTCATCCTGTCTCAGTGATACTCTGAGATCATGGAGTTAACAGCTTGTATTCCTGACGTCTGTTCCTCCAGCTCGGTGCCTGGCGTGTGGGAGCCTCCTCACTCCTTCCCCCGTGTCTATCACAACTGACCCAAGAGAAGTCCCCTCTGCTTCCCACCAAAATACATAGGACAGGTTACCAAACTGTAGTGTGCTTTCATGCATGTCATAGGGAAAAACAGATTTTATTTACTTGAATGACAAAAATCCCAGTTTCCACTTTTGGCCCCGCCAAAATAGAAATCTTAAAAATAGACACA